ACACACACACACACACACACACACACACACACACACACACACACACACACACACACACACACACACACACAGACAAAAATATTTCCATCAATGGTAGTTGAAATTTACAGATAAAGTATGAGAGAAATTGCCTGAGAACTTACTAGAATTTGATTTGATAGATACTTTGTATATTTTGACATATTGACGACTTGTGTTTAACTGTTATAAAGCTTTAACTTTTTTAATCTCAACCTGTCATTTTTCTGACCTTCCCCATCATGTCCCTCAAATGTGAAAATTAAATCAATAAAAATGTTTAAAATCCATAATTTTTCACAACTGAAAGTAACTGTGTATGTACACACACACACACACACAGAGTATATATAAAATAGAAAAAGTTCTTTAAAATAAACTGATATTATTTGTCAATTATAAAAAATTAATTCTGCCAAGCAAAACAAAAATGATGAAGTAATACTTGGTCGGGATATCAGGTGAACTTTATAGTACTTGTGTTTCTCAGTTTAAATTATAAATACATTATTCTTCAATCTGTGCTAGAAAAGGTGTGGTAGTAACCGTGCTCTTAACTTTTTTTTAGGACAGTGGCATGTAAAAGAGGTAGAGAGTTAGCTTTAACTTTTTTATATAGATAGCTAAAGACTCAACAAGAATTAACTGAATTTGTAATAAACTGTCACTATATTGAAGCTTTGGAATGTGAAAGTCCAAAAAAACCCAACCCTTGCTTATTGCAAACTGTAGAAGTAATGAAGGAAATCTGCATAAAATCATACAAAACAAGCTGACATGTTAAATATATTACAGACCTGATCAGAGTTTTGTTTAGATTTCTTTAATCAGAATCAGAAGTGAAATGTTTCCCTGTTCCAGTTGGATTGTATGTAAAACATTAGCAGTGTTGCATAAACAGAGCCAAAGTGTTTTGTGTTTTTTTATTTTATTTTTATTTTATTTTATTTATTTAAGTACATGGGAGGAGTTGTTCAAAGGACAGAACAGATGATTGCATTATAGCTTATGTTTGTTTGTGTCTGTGGCTGCTATGAAAGCTTAATTTGAAGAGCCAAAAATCCACCCCAAAACAAACAATCTATCTTCTACTGGGGCAGATATCTCCTTTGAAAAGATTCTGTAAGGATTTTCCCACACAAATTGTTGATCTCTTGGTTTGTTGGACAGATAGGAAAACGGAGTTGTTGTTTGACCCATGTGCATATTCTGGCTGCTGGAATGAAACGAGTTGGAACTGCAGACTGGTTTTCCACTGAGCATGTCCTTCCCTAGCAATGTCAGGGCTTGGGTGGGGTCACTCTTGTTCATTAAGCTTTTCAAACAGACTGTTGGATTTTCATCAGCTGGACTCATTTATTTAATGACAGGGAACAACAGAACTGGCTTGATGTACAAAATAAAAATTACATACGTATGTATTTTGTTATATAGACTTTAAGTTCTGCACTTGAGATTTTATACTAACATGTCAGGTATTTGTAGCTTGTAAACAAAACGCAAACTAGATTCCCATTGTCTCTGGCAAGGGAATTCGAATGGGTGGCATTGTTGTCAGGCTATTAAATTTCATCTCCGCTAGAAGGATATTCTTATCAGGAGCCAGGATTTGGAAGAGCATGACACCTGGTAATGTGTAACACTTTAAAGGTACCCTTGTTTGTTTTGTTTGTTTTTGTTTTTCAATCTGAACTTATAGTTTCTTTTAAAATGCATGGGTTCTAATATTTTTTAATCATAAGGTTGCTTTGAGACAAATCAGTTTCTTTTAGATGCTTTTTAATTTTATTTCAAATTATGTATTTTATAGTATACTGACATCAGCAAACAAAAACCATTTAAGAATATAAGTTTCAAGAAATTTCACTTATTTATTGAAATTCTTTTCCTGTACCTAATGTTTTTTGGTAATAGCTCTTTAAAGAATATATAGAGTATATTTGAGAAGAGAAAATTAACACTTCTTAATATAAAAGTATAACTAAGCTTTGTTAAGTAATATCTGGACAGCATTGTCTCAGAGTCAATTTCTAGACAAAAGATTCTGATTTGCAAAATGACCAACAACTGTGCAAGTAATGCTCAGGGACATTTGGATAATACAGAATCTGTGTTCAAGTATCTAGTTTTTTAATGCGTCTTAAGTCATACTGACAATATTCATATTTGCAGATTGTTTTGACTTTAAAATGAGGTAACACTGCTTTCTGAAGTAGCTTTCTACAGTTGGTTTACAGATAACTTTCAGTGTATTAGCACTGTTGTGATAGTGTCCTGTTTTGATTGAAGCAATTCGTTTTCCAGTTTTATTAAAAAAAAAAAAATAGTGCATGCTACAGCATTTTTACTGCTGCCTGGGCTCTTAGGTGTTTGTCTCTACCTTGATCTTCAACATTGATATTTAAACGTGATTACTACAGCATTCTGTGCTACGGGAGCTGATGTTCAGTCCTCTGCTTTTCTATAGGGACTTGACAGATCAAATTAGTGATGACTCTCATGTGTTTTGGGAAGTGTAAATAGAGAGTGATGTAATGTGTATGCCAATTTTATAAACAAGCAGGGAATTCAGTTTTACAGAATTAATGTTTGTATACCTATTTGCACTAAAACAATATATTATTGGAAATGCAGGTGGATTATTGTGACTGGGGGGAAAAAATATTGTGTGCCTCAGGACACTCAGATGCTTGATGGGCATCAAGCAGGTAAATAGAATAACAAAAGATAACAAACATTGTAACTAGGGCTGTTGATTAATCACAGTTAACTCACGTGATTAATCACTATTCTTTTTTTTGTTAATCACACTTTTAAACAATAGAATACCAATGGAAAAATATTAAATATTTTTGGATGTTTTTCTACATTTTCAAATATATTTATTTCAATTACAACACAGAATACAAAGCGTACAGTGCTCACTTTATATTATTTTTATTACAAATATTTGCACTGTAAAAATGATAAAGAAATAGTATTTTTCAATTCATCTCATACAAGTACTGTAGTGCAATCTCTTTATCATGAAATGCAAATTACAAACGTAGATTGTTTGTTACATAACTGCACTCAAACAAAATAATGTAAAATTTTAAAGCCTAGAAGTCCACTCAGTCTGACTTCTTGTTCAGCCAATTGCTAAGACAAACAAGTTTGTTTACATTTACGGGAGATAATGCTGCCCGCTTCTTATTTACAATGTCATCTGAAGATGAGAACAGGCAAGGTATTTACGTGTCAGATATGCTAAACATTCGTATGCCCCTTCATGCTTCAGCTACCATTCCAATGGACATGCTTCCATGCTGTGGCTGCATGTTTAGTTTAAAAAAAAAAAAAAGTTAAATTAAATTTGTGACTGAACTCCTTGGGAGAGAATTGTACGTCTCCTGCTCTGTTTTACCCGCATTCTGCCATATATTTCATGTTATAGCAATCTCGGATGATGACCCAGCACATGTTGTTCGTTTTAAGAACATTTTCACAGCAGAGTTGACAAAACGCAAAGAAGGTACCAATGTGAGATTTCTAAAGATAGCTACAGCACTTGACCCAAGGTTTAAGAATCTGAAGTGCCTTCCAAAATCTGAGAGGGATGAGGTGTGGAGCATGCTTTCAGAAGTCTTAAAAGAGCAACACTCGGATGTGGAAACTACAGAACTGAACCACCGAAAAACATAATCAACCTTCTCTGGTGGCATCTGACTCAGATGATGAAAATGAATTTGCATTGGTTCACGCTGCTTTGGATCGTTTTTGAGCAGAACCATTGGCATGGACACATGTCCTCTGGAAGAGTAGTTGAAGCATGAAGGGATATATGAATCTTTAGTGCATCTGGCACCTAAATATCTTGTGACGCCGGCTACAACAGTGCCATGCAATCACCTGTTGTCATTTTCAGGTGAAATTGTAAACAAGGAGCAGGCAGTATTATCTCCTGAAAATGTAAACAAACTTGTTTGAGCGATTGGCTGATTAAGATGTAGGGCTGAGTGGACTTATAGGCTCTAAAATTTTACATTATTTTACTTTTGAGTGCAGTTCTTTTTTTGTACATAATTCTACATTTTGGAAGTTCAACTTTCATGATAGAGATTGCACTACGTTATTTGTATTAGGGGAATTGAAAAATACTATATATATCTTTATTACAAATATTTCCACAGTTAAAAAAAGAAAAAGTGGGCACTGCACACTTTGTATTCTGTGTGGTAATTGAAATCGATATATTTGAAATATAGAAAACATCCAAAAATATTTAAATGGTATTCTCTTATTGTTTAACAGTGCAATTAATTATTTTAATCACAATTTTTTAAATCACGATTAATTTTTTTAATTGCTTGACAGCCCTAATTGTAACTAGTGACTTTCACCATCTGGGAAGGACTGATGCCTAGAAGTACCATTCCTCAAAAGCATTATGTCTGGGTAAATTTGCCAGCCTGCATACCATATTTGTTTTTGGAATAATGGTTCAGTTGGAAATATTATTTTTATAGAGACCGTACCTTCTGGCCTCACAGTACTTAGTGTACACTTGGTTGACTGGATCTTTTCAGGCATTATGGTAAAGTATTTCAGTCCATGTCTGGCTCTATTTATATAAAAATCTTTCAAAAAATATTTGGCTTAAAACAAAATGGTGTGTAACAATATAAACAGCGAGATCCGTTTCAGTGTCTGACTTTGGCTGGGGAAATCATTGCTGTAATGAGTTTGGTCTGTGGAATTGCTAATTTGTAGCACTCTTCTAGCACCATCTGCTGACCAACCTATGGTGTGGCAATGACATTTCGATCTGCTTACGTGTTTCGAAGTATACTCACAACTTAGCATCAAGAGGCAAGAAACAGAACCATAGGCTAGTCAGTTTATAAGTGTTTGGAAATAAGATTTTGACAGTATGGAAAATGAAAGGATCTGTGTACTATAATGTAATTTGAGTTGTCCAGTCACCCAGGCTGTCTCAGAAAACTCTGCTACAGATGTAGACCTTTAAAAGAAACCAAATTTTGTTGATTTGGTTCCATGTGGTGAATCACTGTATTTGTGCCCATCAATACTGTAGTTTCTAAGCTTGCAGAAAAGAGAATTTGACAGCATGAGATCAGTTCAGGCCCTAGATCTGGTAGGATTGTCATAGCATGGGAAGCTGATTGGCTCTAACAGGCTTTTGTCATATGACTGCTTTTCAAACAAACAAAAGTTGAGTCTGCAGTCTTCCTATTTAGTCTGTGCACCTTGACTGGGATTTATATGCTATTGTTGTAATAAGCACTGTTTGGCCTGCTTTTTCCCAGCTTTAGTATGTAAATATTTATATTTGGTTTATTGGTATACATAATTAGCTTTCCTGTTTTGAATAGGAGTACTTGTGGCACCTTAGAGACTAATTTCAGGTTTCAGAGTAGCAGCCGTGTTAGTCTGTCGTGGGCTACAGCTCACTTCAGCTGTAGCCCACGAAAGCTTATGCTGCAATAAATTTGTTAGTCTCTAAGGTGCCACAAGTACTCCTGTTCTTTTTGCGGATACAGACTAACACATCTACTACTCTGAAACCTATTTGAATAGTTGTTAATGTAAATAGAATAGATATATAATCTGAGAAGTACTTGATGTAGGTGTCTTAACTAAAATTTTTGTTTTTAAATTTCACTGAACTATCATGCTAAAGTTTTAAAATATAGTCTCTCTTGGTTTTGTCTGTTCATTTTTAAAGAGTCTATCAAATTGTTAAAATGAAGATTGGGACCAGTGCAAGTTTAGTCAATTTCTTTTAAGTGCAGGGAGCTAAATTTTTAAAAAATTAAATATCACGCCTAAGTTGAATTTAATTTTGGAGCTATTACTCGGAAACAAACCAGTAGTGGGTAAACTGGTAGTGATACAATTAAGATAAATAAAGTGACTGCTGACTTTAATTGTACTGGATAAACTTAATTTGCAGGCTTTTTTTTTTTCTTTTCTTGGCTTGTATCTAAAGGATCCTGAAATCGGAAACCACACCCATTGTGTTAGTAATTTGTTTCCCAGGGGCTTGAAAAGCCTCTCTAATTCCTACAGCAGATTTGTCATCTTTCACAACTGAAGAGCAAATTTGGATTTCCTGTACACTTAGTTTGCTAACAATACATTCTGAATGCTATAAGTTGATAGGCATCTTTAATATTTTTGAACCGGTTCTTTTTATATTTGGATTACTCTTTAGCATGCCTCTTCAGAAATGATCTCTGCTACACAAAACCATACGGTAGAAGAACTTTTTTCCATTAGCGTTAGGTGGTAAAATAATTTTTTTTTAAAATGTAAATTTGATTTAATAGCAAAAACTATAGACACAACAGTTTTCTAGATAATGTACTCATCCTGATTCTGATCTTCTTTATACTGGTGTAACAGTGACTCTACTCAAGTCAGTGGAGTTATGCTCGTGAGAAATCTGTATGAGAGAAGCATCAGGCCCTCCAAGTATTTCTTGGTGATTAAAGTAGATATTTTCACAAAGCGTGTGTATTCCTGACTGACTCTTCCAAGGAGGATTTTACTTTTGTGACTGTCAAAATATAAAAGTTTTCGGTATGGATCTGTGGTGAAACCTACAACTGTTACTCCTGGTGGAATTCTGCGCCAAAAAAATAAAA